TAGGGACATGGGCATGCTGGCATAGGAGGATCAAGGTTCTAATCCTGGCTCCCCGTGTCCAAGATTGTCACAGATTGAGACACTCTGCCAGAGTGGCTAAGTAACTTGCCCATGGTCACACGGGGAATCGGTGGAAGAGCTGAAGATGGCGCCTAGATTCCCTGGAGTGTCATGTATTCGTGTGCTAGCAGGCCAGCGCTGGGTTTGGGGTGAACACATGGGAGTGAGAGGAAAGCTGGGTTCAAAGCCTCCTTCTCACCCCATGCGGCTGTGTCACTGCAAGTCACTGCATTGCTCAGTCCCTGCATTTCCCATGCAGCCCTGGCACTTTGGGGCAGGGCCTGTGTGTCTGCAGCGCCCGGCACAACGGGGCCCTGATCTCAGCTGGGGCAGGGACTGTCTCTCGCTGTGTCTGTGCAGCGCCCGGCACAACGGGGCCCTGATCTCAGCTGGGGCAGGGACTGTCTCTCGCTGTGTCTGTGCAGCACCCGGCACAATGGGGCCCTGATCCCAGCTGGGACCTCTGGATGTTACTATAATACACAAAGAGTACTGGACAACATTGGTATATGATAGACACAGTGTATCCTGCCCGAGATGGGTCTTTCCAGCCCTGATCCAAGGCACCTTGCTGGGACGTGTTGTGGGGGTCCTGCCCCGAATGCCTCTGCTCCAGGAGTACATTCTGGCGTGCTCCTCTGGAGGTCAGCTCTTGGCACATAAACTGCAAGGCAAGGAGTTAATGAGAGGCGCCGGGACTCCTGGGTTCCGGGCAGGGAGTGGGTTCTACTGTTTTAGGACAGGGGAGAGCGGTGAGCCCTGTCCGATGACGCAGTGGGAAGCGGAGTTGCTAATGATCGTGTCTACTCTGGGCAGTAGACTGGAGAAATTGACCTGGATCTCTGTTCTGGAGCAGCTCCCAGAATCGACGCTGTGCTGGAATAAAACCCACTTTTTACAGGGCTCAGACTTTGACTAAGCCAACTGTTAGTCTCTGCACTCACGCACGCATGCACTAACCACACCCCTTCCAGAGCCAGGGGTAGCACCCAGGAATCCTGGCTCCTAGCCCCCCGCTCTAACCACTAGACCCCACTCCTTTCCCGAAGCTGGGGACAGAACTGGCTTTCCTGCACTCTAACCGCTAGACCCCCCTCTCCCTTCCCAGAGCTGGGTAGAGAACCCAGCAGTCCTGGCGCTCAGCCAAGCTGCACCCCTCCCCACTCTAACCACTAGATACCACTATCTAGGAGAGTACCTACGATCCCTGGCTCCCAGCCTTCCCTGCTTTAATCACTAGTCCCCACTGCTCTCCAAGAGCTGGACACAGAACCCAGGCGCTCTGTCCCCCCCACACTCTTCCCACTACAGCCCAGCTAAGGGATTGTGGTGGGGGCAGGGACAGCTTGCAACGCCTCCCTTCCCCCCGCCCACACACACACGCACGGCATGTGAAACTGCCAGCCACTTTGAGCCAGCACTGAGAGGCAGCCACTTCTGGGGTGGGGCAGCTGCAAAGCAGCCACACAGCAGCAGGGAACATAAGAACGGCCACACTAGGTCAGACCAAAGGTCCATCCAACCCAGTGTCCTGTCTGCCCACAGTGGCCAGTGCCAGGCGTCCCAGAGGGAGCAAACAGAACAGGGACTCATTCATGTGATTCCTCTCTTCGCCCATTTCCAGCTCCCGGCAGAAGCTAGGGACACCATCCATCCTAGCTAATAGCTATCGATGGACCTAACCTCCATGAATTTATCTAGCTTTTTGAACCCTGTTAAAGTCCTGGCCTTCACAACATCCTCTGGCAAGGAGTTCCGCAGGTTGACTGTGCGTTGTGTGAAGAAAACCTTCCTTTTGTTTGTTTTAAACCTGCTACCTATTAGTTTCACTTGGCGACCCCTAGTTCTTGTGTATGTGCAACATTGGTCACAAAGTGCAGCTGCTTCTGGGGTGGGACATGCCCCCACAATGTTACTGCACTTGGGATCCACCAGCATCTCTGACCTGACACACCATCGCCTCTTGCTTCAGCACTGGGCATGCAATCAGAGCCCGGTTTCCAAAGGGATTTAGGCGCCTAATGCTGCAGGCACCCCCTAGGGCAGGAGGTGCTGGAACCGCCACAGGTGGGGGCTCCTGGATCCAAGCCCTGCCCTCGCCCCCCCCACACACACTGCTCTAACCACTAGGCCCCATTGCCCTCCCACAGCTGTGTCTAGAACTCAGGAGTCCTGACTCCCAGCCCGCTCTAACCACTAGCCCCCACTCCCTTCCCAGAGCTAGGCATAGAACCCAGGAGTCCTGGCTCCCAGCCCCTGTCCCGTTCTAACCACTAACCGGATCCAAGCCCTGCCCTCGCCCCCCCCACACACACTGCTCTAACCACTAGGCCCCATTGCCCTCCCACAGCTGTGTCTAGAACTCAGGAGTCCTGACTCCCAGCCCGCTCTAACCACTAGCCCCCACTCCCTTCCCAGAGCTAGGCATAGAACCCAGGAGTCCTGGCTCCCAGCCCCTGTCCCGTTCTAACCACTAACCCCCACTCCCCTCCCACAACTGGGTCTAGAACCCAGGAGTCCTGGCTCCCAGCCCGCTCTAACCACTAGCCCCCACTCCCTTCCCACAGCTGGATCTAGAGCTCAGGAGTCCTGATTCCCAGCCCCCATCCCACTCTAACCACTAGCCCCCACTCCCTTCCCAGAGCCAGGCATAGAACCCAGGAGTCCTGACTCCCAGCCACTTTCCCGCTCTAACCATTAGGCCCCACTCCCCTCCCAGAGCCAAGCATAGAACCCACGAGTCCTGGCTCTGAGCCACTTTCCAGGTACCGACAACTGTACAGCCGGTCCCATCCCCGACAGCATTCACTCCAAAAAGGAGAGGGTTATTTTTTCTGTCCTTGACAGGGACGTTGGGACCAACACCAGGATCTGCAGCTAATTGGTTCAAGGTCCCCCTGACGAGCAAGTTTGATTTAAAATAGTAACGAGGCAGGCACAATCGACTAGCTGCCAGTGACACAGCCCGGAGTCTGTCCTACTTCACAGCTCCGCTGGGCTGCAGGCCGGAGGGGAACACAAGGTACCTACCTCGAGATCTTAATGTTATCTGTCACTCTGTCCTTTCATCCCCTGTGTGCCTGTCCATCTGTCTGTCCCAGCCCCCTAGGCCCTGCTGGCCAGCGCTCCAATCCCCCAGCCCTAAATAGACTTTGTCTGTCTGTCTGATCCCCCTAGATCTGAACATACTTTGGCTGGCTGTCCCTCTAGTTCCTAATATACTCTGGTCCGTCTGTCTTAAACCCGATCTGTCTCAACCCCCAATCCTAATGTACTTAACCCTGTCTTAACCCTCCATCCTAATATACTCTGGTGCATCTGTCTTAAACCTGGTCTGTCTGTCTTCCACCCTCCCATCCTAATTTACTCTGGTCTGTCTGTTTCCCCTAGACCCTAATTTAATCAAGCTAATTTAACCATATTTTCATTCTGCCTAGAGCATCTATCTATCTATCTATCTATCTATCTATCTATCTATCTATCTATCTATCTATCTATCTATCTATCTATCTATCTATCTATCTATCTATCTATCTATCTATCTATCTATCTATCTATCTATCTATCTATCTATCTATCTATCTATCTATCTATCTATCTATCTATCTATCTATCTATCTATCTATCTATCTATCTATCTATCTATCTATCTATCTATCTATCTATCTATCTATCTATCTATC